TTTATTATTAATTTTTATGAAAATTTACAGACACTTTGGATTTCCATTCCTTCATTGTTGCACTTTAAATTCTATACCATTTTTAATACAAAATAACCACCATAAAGTTGTTAACCCTCCAGAAAAATGAACCACATAGTGGACTCCCTGTCTATTGCTATGGTATAACCAGACTTATTCAGAAATGTCCCCAGAGCTGTTCACTGTTTTCCTGCTTTCCTTGAAAATACAGCTCGAATAACTATCCATCTGATGAACTTTTCATGGTAAGGGTTTGTGTGAGATCCAAATCAGAAAATAACTGGAGACATCAATTCAAACTCTATTCCTAGTGAGTCTATAGGATAAAGTGAAACTGCTCCATAGGATTTCTGAGCTGGTAGATCTTTATGGAGCAGACAGCCTGCTCTGCAAAGTGGCTGATGGGTCCAAGCTGCTGGCCTTTCAGTTGGCAGTCCAGATCTTAACCCAGTTCACCACCACAGCTCCTCTACTTCCATATAAATAATTTTGAAAATAAAAATTTTGCTCATCCCTTTGTGGCTGCTAATCAAAAGACCACCTGACTCCAGTGGTTCAATTGAATCCACCAGCCACTCAGAAGGAGAAACATGGACAGACTCTTCTTGTTAAAATGTACAGCTTCAGAAACTAGATGGGGGCCCCTGAATTGGAGCCGGTTTGATAACACTCACTCGCTGCCTCTCACACTCACTGATCAACACACCCCGAATCAGCACTGACTCATAGCTAACCCTCCAGTGGCTTCTGAAGCCGTGAATCCCCTGGGAGGAGGTAGTTCATTCATCTTTCTCCTGTAGGGGTGCTGTGGAATTTGAGCAGCCAGAGAGGTGTGAACTCTTGGCTTAGCAGTGCAACCCCTCCACCTGAACTCCCTCCATTGGCAGTGAGAGAGTGAATGGGGGTATATGCATTTTATGTTTGGGGAAATATCTCCATAAAATGAACTCATGAGATAATAGTGAAAGTGTCTAAATATCATTTGATGTATATGCATCTTGTTGTGTACCATCAAGTAGGAACCAACCCATAACTGACCCTCTGGCGGGTTTTCAGAGCCAGTTAATCACATGGAAGGAGATTGTCTATCCTTCTCCTGCAGAACAGCTGGTGGCCTCAAACTGTGTGCCTTCAGAATTGCAGCACAGATTCTTGCCACTAGGACACTAAAGCTCCCTATATGTATATGTATGGTTTAAAATTCAAGAACATTTGATAAAGGTACAGTTTAACCTGTGTACTTTTTTTGCTATAGTTGTAAGGAAAAAAATTAATGTCTAAAAGCTAGGTTGTTCTAGTTTTAGTCTACATCTAATCAAGTTTTTGTTTGGGTTTTTTCCCCTTTGGATCAGACATTCATACATAGTGTAGTATTTGAGTAATATATATCATCAAATACTAGTGGGAAGAATCTAGCAGTTTATAACCTAAACCAGGTCCTGACCAACTCATTTGCCTTGTGATATATAGGCAAGTTGTTAACCTCATAGAGATTCCCTTTTCTTATCCAAAAGTAGGTTTTAAAATGTCTTATAGATGACATTGTGCTTGTTGTTGGCTATGAGTCACTATGAGTTGCATTGTGCTTATGGAAGAAAAAAATACCCCCTCACACAAATATAAACTTAGATATACCCTGGAAGTTTTAAGGGTAAAAATGTTTGATGTCTGAAAGTTACCATAAAATACTTCAGGAAGGAAAGCATAGAAAGATAGGGACAATAAACACCAACAAAGGTGATGAAAATTCAGACAGTTGGAGGATACATGGGGGTTTGTTTTATTTTCTACTTTTATGAGGATTTTCATCATAAAATGTTTGTAGATATATGGAAGTTAACTTCATATGTGGTACTTGTACTTTCAAATATTTTGTGAAAATATTTTAAAAAATCTAATAATTTCCATTAGAAATTCTATTGTTAATGATCTTAGGCACTTTCAATCTTAAACCCTCAGAAAAGGTCTTCTAGGCTTGGACAGCTTATCTAGAATGGTGAGCAAGGCTAGTGACTCTGAGAAATGTAAACTAGAACCTCTAATCTCTACAAAAACCTTTGTGACGCTTTCCAGGTGTTTACATGGCCCCCTAACTACTGAGTTGCTAATCGTGAAGCCAGTAATACATCTGTTAGACTAAGGAAGCCTGGACTGCTCTAAGCACCTGCATCCATGCCTGTGACACACATTTCTAGCCTTGCTTGGCCTCATTCTTAATCGCATACTGTCTGCCTGCCTATTGTAGAATTTGTAAGAAGTTGAGGTTAGTATTTCTTCCTCAACTAGGCAGAAAAAGGAGCATTTATTCTTAAGATTGAAGTTGTTGAATGGGTAATGCTAACTAAATATTAGTATCTTTGGGTAGTTATGAACTGCTTAAATTAACCTTGCCTGTATTTTGACTTCTGGCTCCAAAGAGGCCTTAAAAAAACCCCAGACATTTAAAGAACCTAGATTGTTTTTATTTTAAAATGTTAGCTATTTTCTGTTAGCATCTAGGTTTGTAAATATATCACCATTGTGGAAAATCCTGTTTTCATATGCCATTTTTTTCATATTGAACTGTCTCTATTTATCCTAGTAGACATCATTTATTTGTGACAGGGTATTATTATATATTTACAAGAGAGTCTATACATGTTTCCCCAACTTATGACCATCATCAATTTCAGGTCACTTTTCATTACTATAAAAGCCTTCTAATTTATAGACTTCTTTAACTGATTGTTTTGGGTCTTGTGGATTTATAAAACTAAAATCTCTCCAAATGTTCTTTAATCATTTAATCATCACGGGTCTTTGACATCATTCCTGTACAGGAAATGTGAAAGTCCATGTTCTTTCCATTTTAGCAAGATGTGGCTTTCATTTCTAACTCGGTCTATTTCTTTTTCCAGTCACAGCCCATCCATTCATTTAGGCCATTTCAAAATAATCGGGTCATTTGAACCAAATGAACTGTCTTTCAGTTTTACAAATTATCAGATGACTGGAATAATAACAACTTCTCTATGCTTTTTAGGATACTATGTTTGTACTTCGCAATGAAGTTCTTTTTTTACATTTGCATGTCAACTATGTGACAGTATACGACTTTTTCTTTTAGAAATAGATTCTTTTCATCAAAAGGTATTTTCAAATTCTCTTCCCTCCTAGCTATATCAAAGTACCTAATAGACAGTATGCTCTTATGCCCACTAAACTGAGATTGGCTATAGTCATATACTCATGCCCTGTATTCATGGGCAATAATACATAGCCAGGAACTTAGTAGCTATGGAATTTATGTCAATTGTATTGTTTTCTTTACAAAATCCAGTGAGAAATGTTTGAATTCTAAGAAATATTAATACTATGCTTTCGTTTCTACACTCATGGGATATAAAGAATGTCTGACACCTTGCTAGGCACGGAGAGCAATATAAAATAAAATACACAGCCCTCACAACCTGGACAGGAAGATAAAATAGCCAGCTTAGACAAGATTGAGAAGCAATGAAGCTTATTTTTACATTCTCATAAGCATTCACTCCATGTTTTGGAGTGAACTGGTATTCAATCTCCCTGAATATCCTGGAGTGAAAACTCAAAGCCCTCAGCCTGCTCTGTCAGGCCATTTCTACCTCTTCCTTTACTGGTCCACTCGGCACTGCCCAAAAAAGAGCTCTGATGGCTTCTCCTTTTTGAGATTGAGTTGATCTTGACTCATCTTGGATGGTATCTTTAAAAGGGGATTTGTTTGTGAAATAAGTCAAAGCTCGATCCCGTGGGGCGGAAAAAAGGTTCAGTGATTAAATCTAGAAAGGAAAAGAAGGAGGAAGTTTCTGTTATCAGTCCCAGGAAATAGAAAGGAAGAATTGGCTGATGCAGAAGGTTATTTGAAGTTCTCTTACTAATTATCAGCACTTGTTATTAGAGATTTATTATATCTTTAACAAAGAAAATGTTTAAGTCCAAATTCCACATTTTTCCTAACAAAACTTAAAATGCATACAATTGGCCCACTACATTCATAGATTCCACATTTTTAGATTCAACCAGCTTTGGATCAGAAGTATTCAAGTTGGGGTGAAGCATTCTCAAAGATTAAGAAGGAGCACAAAGCACTAATTACACAGTATTTCCATTGTACTGGGTGCTTATAAGTGAAGAGATGATTTAAAGTACACAGGAAGATGTTTGTGGGTTATCTGTAAGTACTGCATCATTTACTACAGAGTCTTGGGCATTTTATTGTTCAAGGGAGCTCTGGTGGCCTGATTAGTAGGGAGTTATGCTATCAATTGATGGGCAAGCAGTTCGAATCCACCAGCTGCTCTGCAGGAGACAGATGGGCAGTCTTTTCCTGTGTAACTTACAGCCTCTGAAAACCTCCTGGAGGTTCAGCTGTGACTCAGTCCTGACTTGAGAGCAGTGAGCATTTTGAGGAAGCATCTAGAGATGTTTCTATTAGTGAGGGTCCTGAAACCAGTCCCACACTGACAGCAAAGGATGACTGTACTTAGTACTAAATTCAAAATGAATTCCTTCTTTGTGTCTCCTCCCGTGTGATTTACTGACTGTAAAAACCACAGCAACTTAACAGCATCAAACAACAATGGGAAAGAATAGCCATACTTATTTTTCTTCTCAGAAAGAGGCTGTACAAGGGTGGGGACCCTATTCACTGTGCTTAAGGAATAATTTTCTTTCATTTCTGTTTGTTCCTTCTTTTAAAAGGAATTTAGAACAAAGTCAAGAGAATGGGACAAGCAAGAGATACTGTATCAGACTCATCTGGTTTCTTTAGATGCTCAACAAAAGTTATTATCTGAGAAGTGTAATCAATTTCAGGTACATTATTGAACAATATTCTCTAAATAAGAAGAAAGTGAAGATTAAGCATTAGTCCTTTTGCCATCCATCATGCAGTCTAGTTACAGATAGAATAGCAGCTAGGGGAGAATAACTAACCACTGTCCCTCCCAAACTGGGTAAAGTCACAGTGCATTAAATAGAGGTAATGGAATTTACAGTAGTCTACATGTCTCAAAGAGTAGTACTACTAAAAATGTATGTTGTTATGTCGTGAAAAGTGGAGCTCTATTGGCAATTCAAATTCACCGACTGCTCCACAGGAGAAAGATGGGCCGCCACCTCCTGTGTGATTTACAGCCTCTGGAAACCCACTAAGGGGTCAGATATGAGTAATCTGACTCAACAGCACATAACAACAATGTCATTAAATAAACATAGCTTTTTTGCATGCCTTTGTGAAAGTAAAGACTACCAGAAGAATGTGTATTTATATTTTATTGATTATGTAAAGGCATTTGACTGTGTGAATCATAACAAATTGTGGCTGACTTTGAGAAGAATGGGAATCTCAGAACACTTAATTGTGCTCATGAGGAACCCATACCTAGACAAGGAGGCTGTTGTGTGAACAGAGCAGAAAAACACTGCATGGTTTAAAATTGAGAAGAGAGTGTGTCAGGGTTATATTTCCTCTCCATACCTATTCAATCTGTATGCTGGGCAAATTATCTGAGAAAATCTGGACTCTATGAAGAGGAGTGTGGCACCAGGAGACATCAATAACCTGCGTTATGCAGATGACACAACCTTGCCTGCAGAAAGTGAGGAGGACTTGAAGCACTTGTAAAAGATGAAGGAATACAGCCTTTGATAATAATTGCATCTCAGTGTAAGGAAAGCAAAGATTCTTACACTGTACTGATAGGCAGCTTCATGACAGGTGGAGAGGAGATTGAAGCTGTTAACAGTTTCATCTTGCTTGGATCCACAATTAATACCCTTTGTACCAGCAGTCAGGAAATAAGGAGACACATTGCACTGGGAAAATCTGCAATTAGGGACCTCTCCAAATTATTGATTAGTAATGATGTCAGTTTGAGGACTAAGATGCGTCTGATTCAGGCCATGGTCTCTCCAATTACTTGCTGTGCATCTGAGAGCTGGAAAATGAATAAGGATGACAGAGAGAAAAAAAAATTGACACCTTTGAGCTGTGGTGTTGGAGAAGAGCACTGAACATCCCATGGACGGCCAAGAAAATGAATAGATTTGTCTTGGAGATGGTGCAGCCAGAATGCTCTTTGGAGGCAAGAATGATGAGGCTTTGCCTCACATACTTTGGACATGTTGCTAGAAAGGGCTGTTCCCTGGAGAAGAACATGATACTGGGGAGGGTGGAGGATTGGTGAAGGATAGGAATACCCTCAACTAAGTAGATTGACATAGTGACTGCTCCAGTGGTTTCTTGTGTGTCAGGAAGTGTGAGGATGACACAGGATAGAACCGAGTTCAGATCTTATGTTCATAGCATCACTATGAGTCATACTTGATGGCACTTAACAACAGCAACATCAACATAGGTGAGACATGGAAGCTTGAATCCACCAGTAAGTAACTCTGAAGGAGAAAGATGGACATTCTCCTCCCATGTGATTTACAGCTTCAGAAACGCAATGGATGTTCAGCTATGAGTCAGTTCAGATTCAATAGCAATGGGTAATAATGATAAATGGAAAAGATAAAAATCCTTTTGGATTTCAGAGGAGTAAGAGAAAAATTTGGAATGAAATCATAAAAAGACCTCCAGCAGGGATAAAATTTGGCCTAGACCTAGAAAAATGTATATACTTTGAGATAAGATGGAATACATTCCAGATGTCCGATGTCGTTGTGTACCATGAGTCAGGACTAACTCATAGCTGACTAAGTGGATTTTGAGAGATTATAAATTGAAAGAGAGGATATTGTCCATCTTCCTCCTTTGGAGCAGCTGGTGGCCTCAAACTGCCTGCCTTTGGGTTAGCAGCACAACTCTTTACCTGCTAAGCCACCAGAGAACCCTTAATGGTAGAAACACGAGGAGAAAAGTCACTGAGGCAAAGAGCCTAAGGTGAATTCTGGGAATGGAACATGGACCAATGGACTGGGAGGCAAGAAGGGGAGGTAGAAAATGAGGCTGGAAAAGTAAGTTTGATCCCGGTAGTAAAATACCTTGGAGGCTCAGCTAAGGAATTCGGGATATTTTTTTTTTATTAAGGCCATTAAGAAACTAAATTTTTTTTAATGTACTTATTTCTTATTCTTTTTTTGCATTCCTTGAATTTATGTTATACAGTCTGAATTTAACACAAAATTATAGTAAGTCATATTAATAGCTTATTCCCTACTCCATTCTTACTCATTTAATGCAAACACTGTTAAGAATTTGATGGCTTTTCTTTCCATGCTCTTTTGCTTTGTACAAAAATGTAAAATTCCTATGTGTCTGTGTAAGATATTTGCCTGTTTTTAATTTTCTTTTGTGCTTACCAAAAACTATGGATATTAATTTTAAGAACTACTTAAAATTCTGCCTTCTTTTTTATAAGATTTCGTACTGTTTGACTATCCTCTATTGGTAGACTTTTGGGGTTTTCCACTAATTTACTATAATATTGTAAGACCCTTATATAAACTTCTTTAAATCCAAGTATTTACAAGTATGTTCAATGTTAGATAAAAATCCCCAGTAATAAAGGGGGAGAGTAGAGGAAGAGAGGAAAAATATGAGTTGGTGAATGAATGAAAACCCAAACTTTTTGTAAACTTTCACTAAAATCACAATTTTTAAAAATGACAGAGAAATCCCCAGTGATGATTGTTGAGCTAAAGGGTATGCACATTAAATCAACAGTAATTCAAAACATAATAACAGATTCCATCCCCAAAAGGTATAGTAATTTACAGCTTAAGGATAGTTTATGAATGTTACCCATGCTCTTATCACCATGAAATGTTATCAGTGTTCTGACTGTCACTAGATTGATGAACAGAAATGATAATTTTTTTAAATTTTTTTCCCCATATCCTGGGCTGCTTTTATAGCTGAGCAATTCTTTTTATGCTACTTAGCATTTTCATTTCTTCTTCTGTAAATTGTTGGTCCATAAATGTCCATTTTTGTATTGTTTACATTTTTATTGTTTTACAGAAATTTTATATGCATTGGTAATTATTACCCCCAGTTATATATGTTATAAACTTTTTTCTAAAGTCTATTTGCTTATACATTTTTAGTGAGTTATTTTAAGTATTAGAGACATTTTCAACTAGTTTTATTGACTAATCATTTCTGAAACTATAAATTCCTAAATTTTCCTTCTTAATTAATAATAATTCCATACTTAGAAGTCACCTCTTATTCATACTTTGTGTCTTTGCTCTGACATTATACAAACATATTTTCTCTTTAAACTGTCTGAGATTACATTTTCAGAACAGAAGCAAGATGGAATTACAAAGGACAAAATATTGTTATCTAATAGCATATTTTAAAATGTTTTCCTAATTCTTTCCTATCATTCTTGGACTTTATATAAGCTTCTATATGACAATTTTCATTTATTTACATGGTTTTTGTGTTTCTCAGAAACAGGCACAAAGTTACCAGACTCAACTAAATGATAAGAAGCAGAGCAGAGACGACCGCAGCGCTGAACTTCCTCGGCTGATATGTGATGCAGATCCCAGTTGTGAAACCAATGAAAGCGATGAGCTCATTATTGAAAAATTAAAATTGGCTGTGAGTGAAATAGCAGTGAGCAGAAACAAGTTACGGGATGAAAATCAGAAGCTCTTACAAGAACTGAAAATGTACCAAAGACAGTGCCAGGTGGAGATTTTTTTTAACTTTTTAAATGATAATGCCCATAAAATTAGATAATTGTGAGTCAACATTATATGGTTAGAAGACTCATTTTCTATTAACACATGTGAATCCAATTCATATTTTCTTTGTAAGTAATTCTTACTTAATAAATAAGTTTAATAATCACATAAGTTTGGGAGGAGGAGTGGCATCCACTTCCATACTAGCTTGCGTCCGGAAACCCAATGAAACTGGAGAGAGGATGAAAGGCACCCAAACATTGAGGACTCTCCTTCATAGGGTCGCTATGAGTCGCCTGCGACTCAACGGCACTTAACAACAACAACAATCACATAAGTACGTTAGCCCACTGGTATACACTCAGCTTCTGCTATTGTTGGTGCAGTATGAACAGCACTCAGTTTCAGATTTTTAGGTCTAAAAGCCACTGCCACCCATCATCCCCTGTACCCACTGTTATCTTCTACAGTGTTTCTCTATGGCGCATAGGAATCCTGGTCCAGGAAATCAGTTAGACTCAACAATCTAACAACCTTCAGTGAGAGATGTGAGAAGGGGGTGGGTCATGCTCTGCAGTTTATCGTTGCTACTTGATCTAACATTTGCCTAACCCTAAGGTGGCACCTCTCTGTCAGTTCAAATCCACCAGCTCTTCTGAGAGAGAAAGATGGGCATTTGTCTCCTATGGGATTTACAGCCTCTGACAGCCTGCTGGAAGTAATTTGACTTCGTGGTAGTGCATAAATACCTTTACTATAAGGCGCTTGCTGCAGAAGGTCAAGGACTGCAGTCTTCAATATGGATTGAAGCTCAATATCAAGAAAACAAAGATTCTCTACACTGGGTCAATTGGCAGCATCAGTATGGAATGAGTGAAGAGATCGAGATAGTTAACAGTTTTAGTTTACTTGTCTCCACAGTCAACACTCTTGGTAACAGCAGCCAGGAAATCAAGAGACGAATTGCATTAGGAAAGTCAGCTGTGAGGGACCTCTCAAGAGTACTGAAGTGCAACGACGTCAGGCTGGAGACTATGGTGCGCCTGATCCACGCTATAGTCTTTGCAATTAAGTGCTATGCATCGGAGAGTTGGACAGTGACTAGGGATGATAGAGAATTGATGCCTTTGAGTTGTGGTGCTGGAGAAGAGTGTTGAATATACCATGGACTGCTAGGAGAACAAACAGGTTTGTCCTAGAGAGGGTGAAGCCAGAATGTTCCCTGGAGTCAAGGATTCTGAAGCTTCGTCTGACATACTTTGGGCATGTTGCAAGGAGGGACTGGTCCTTGGAGAGAAACATGTTTGGGAGAGTGGAGGGACGGCACAGGAGAGGAAGACCCTCGATGAGATGGATCGATTCTGTGAGTGGAGTTGTGGGAATGAATGTGTTTTGAGACAGTGAGGTTGGCACAGGATAGAACAGCGTTTAGGGCTCTTGTAGCTAGGGTGGCTGAGTTGCAAACGACTCAATGGCACATAACAACAACAACAACAATAAGGAGCTTTGGTGGCATAGTCTTTGGGAAGTCATAGTGTCAACTCAAAAACCGAACTCCTCTAATGGCTCAAATCCACCAGCAGTTGAGGGTCAGTTCCAACCAGATGGAGGAAGTAATGGAAGTTTTGTCACAATCACTTACCAACTTCTACTTGGGCAAATATGATTGATGGGTTTTCACAGCAATATTTTTTGTTCTTAACTCTTCAATCATTTTTCCTTTTTTTGAACTCTCCACTTCTTAAAAGCATAAGAAAATTATAATGCATGTATTAACAAGACTTTTTAATTGAGGGATATCCCAATTAGTTGAGACATATCATCCCTTTCTAGGTTTTACCTCCCAGTCACAGACCTTCGACTTCTTTTTCCTTATTCCTCTGTGACAGCTGGCATATTTCTTGGTCCTCTATTCCATCTCCATGCTAAAATACACTTCTTGAGGTTATGATGGCCTGAAGCTGTGCTGAGAAGTTCTCCTCTTTTGTCCCTTCCTGTACTCTGTTTAGCTCTATTTCCTAGAAATCTATTCTCTGCTCAGCCCTATTTTTCTCTGTTCTCTTCAGTCTTCCTGAAACATGTTTCATTAGCTAGTGCAGTTATTGAGTCTGATTCTACCCTTCTGTGGGGTGCACCTTCTTCATTAACTTCAGATCTCCTTGAACAGGATTCTGTTTGGATCCATTTAGAGTGGCCAAGATCATTCTTCTTTTTTGACTTGGGCTTAACTTTTGCCTTCCACTCACATCAGCAATCCTTGAAAGAGACTTGTTCTACTTCTTGGCAGCACTGTTAAACCTAGAATGTATTTTTATATTTTACAAATTATATGTTAAAAGACTAAATTATTCTGCAGAAAAAAATATATATATATATCTTTCTCATACACACTCTCACTCCTATAATAATTCTAATGAAAATATTCTTAAATAATGATCTTGTTTAAAAAGTTAGGATATCTAGAAAAGCTAGGTTTCTTTTTTTCTTTTTTTTAATTATTATTAATTTTAATGAAAACTTACAGACTTTGGATTTCTACTCATTCATTGTTGCACTTTTCGCCCTATCCAATCTCTCCCCTTCACTCTTCTCTTTGAAAAGTGAAAGTTCTTTCATTGTTTTACAGTCCCTCCTGCACAAGCACTGTCTTTGATCCAGTTTAGAAAGAAATGCTGAGAATCAACATTTGCTTTAGTTTTCTCTGTTTGATTTCCATATGTTACTTATGCTTTATGTTTTGCTTCAAGACACAGACTAAATGAAAAGATGGAAATTATTTACTAAATGAAAAGATATAAATATTATTTTTCTTTTTATATTACTCTGATTTATTTACAAAGTTTGAATACATTGTTTTTCATGAAAGATCCTTCCCATATCTTTCACTCCACCCACCCATAGAATTGTGCAGCCCTGTAATTAACGCCATACCACCCCGAATCCTCAACACTATTTCCACCCCCCCTCAACTTGGATCCTCATACTCATTCTACAATAATGGTTTTATACAGTATTTGTCCTTCTGGGACTGAGTTCACTCAGCATAATGCTCTCTAGACCCTCCCAAGTTAGGTAGTAATTTACAAAATATTTGCTCCTACATGCTGCATAGTATTCCATTATATGAATGTACCACAACTTCTCAATCTATTCATTTTTGGTTGGACAACTGGGCTGTTTCCCTGTCCTTGCGATGATAAATAATGCTGCTATGAACATTGGTGTACAAGTTTCTGTTTGGGTTTCAATTCTCATTTTCTTGGGGTATATTCCAAGCAATGGAATAGCTGAGTTATATGGAATTTCTATGTTTAGCTTTTTGAGGAAATGCCAAACTGCCTTCCAGAGTGGTTGTACAATTGTACAATCCCACAACAATGAAAAAGAACTCCTATCTCACCACATCCTCTTCGACATTTATTACTTGCTGTCCTGTTAAACTTTGCCTCTGCTACTGGAGTGAGATGGTATCTAATTGGGGTTTTTCTTTTCATCTCTCTCATTGCCAGTGATTTAGGGCATTTCTTTCTATGTCTGTTGGCTATTTGAATATCTTCCTCTGAAAATTCTGTTCATGTCTTTTGCCCATTTTGTAATTGGGTTATCAGACTTTTTTCTTGTGGAGGCCCAGGAGTATTCTGTAAACTTTCGTTATGAGACTCTTGTCTAAGACGGTATTGCCAAATGTTTGTTCCTACTCAGTAGGCTTTCTTTTCACCCTGTTGGAAAAAGTTTTTGATGAATACAATGATTTAATCTTTAGAAGGTCTCATTCATCAGTTTTATCCTCTTTAGATTGTACATTTCTGGCTGTATTTGGCAATCTCGTTATACCGTAGATTTGAGCTTCTAAGTTTGATTCCAGTTTGTCTCTTATGAACTTTATGATTTTGGGCTTTACTCCCAAGTCTCTTATCTACCTTGAAGTGCTTTTTGTATATGGTCGTGTGATATGAGGATCCTGTTTCAGCTTTCTGCAGGTAGCAGTCCAGTTTTGCCAGCACCATTTGTTGAGGAGGTTATCATTTCCCCATTTGATGAGTTTTATTTCCTTGTCGAGTATCAGTTGACCATAGATAGCTGGGTCTATTTCTGGGTTCTCAGTTCTGTTCCATTGATCTATGTGTCTTTCATTGTACCTGTACCGTGCTGTTTTGGTTACTATTGCTGTGTAGTAAGTAGGTTTTGCAGTCAGGGAGTTCTATATTTTCCACTTCATTTTTGTTTCTCAGAAGTGTTTTGCTTGTTTGGGGTCTCTTGCCTCTCCAAATAAATTTGACAATTTCCCTTTCAATCTCCTTGAAAAATGAATTTAGTATGTATTGGGATTGCACTGAATATATAGATTGGTTTTGATAGGATTATCATTTTCACAGCATCTTCCTATCCATAAACAGGGCACAATTTTCCATTTATTTAGGTCTTCTATTGTGTCTTGCAGAGATGTTCTGTAGTTTTATTTCTATGGGTGTTTTGTATCTCTAGTTATGTTCACTCCCAAGTATCTCCATTTGTGGTTGGCTATTGTAAATTGGATTGCTTTCTTGGTTTCCTTCTCTTAGTTCTCTTTGTTACTGTATAGAAATCCCTCTGATTTTTGGATATTGATTTTATATCTTGTCACTCTACAGTATTGGCCTACTAGCCCTAACAGGTTTTTGTGTTGTTTTGTCTTTGGGATTTTCTGTGTACACTATAATATCATCTGGTTATAGCAATATTTTAACCATCTCTTTTCTGATCTGGAGGCCTTTTATTTCCTTCTCATGTCGAATAGAAGTGGTGACAGTGGACATCCTTGTCTGGTCCCTGTTAGCAAGGAAAATATTTTTAGTCTTTCACCATTGAGAATGATGTTGGCTCTTGGTTTTCACTATGTTGAGGAAATTCCCTTTGATTACAATTTTGCTGAGTGTCTTTATCAGAAAGCAGTGTTGGATTCTGTCAAATGCTTTTTCTGCATCAATTGCTAAGATCGTATGGTTCTTGTTATTTATTTTGTTA